CCCATCATTTTGGGCCCTTGCCAGCGTATTAAATCTTATGTTCTGAGAGAATGACCCTAACTCAATAAACTCTTGCTTGTATAGGAGTTGATCAATCACACTCAAAATCCAATCCTATAGCTTTTGCTAGTACATCTTATCGAGCCCTTGCAGCTCCTCCACGGCGTAATCTCTTCTTCCCTTATCATTTCCAGCACATGCCCAGTTGTGTTATGCTGGGATTTTACACTAGTTATTGATCTGGCAGCTAGGTGAGGCGGTGGGGACAACTTCTGAGGGGGACCAGTGATTTGCAAGGGAGAGGTCTCTGCACTGTCTTTCTGCACAGGAGATGTCCTAACTCTGAATCAGGCCTCATGGAGGAAATGCTAGCTCTTATTAGGGAGGAGAAAGTATCCTCTGAAATCTCAGAGCCTAAGTCCTTTAAGGATCCATCTCTGACCCATGTTTCAGGGCCCTGTATTTTCTAGCCAGAGCCCTGATCTTAGAATAACAGACATGCCTAGGCTGAGTATTCAACAGCCTTCGAAGTTTGGCTACCCTGAATTTGTTCCAAAGCTGTGTCTGTTCTCTCACTGCAGGAGATAAGTTTCTTTGTAAGTTGTCAGATAGGTCCTTTGGCTCTCATGCCTAGTTTTTAAAATGTTAACTGCCTTCAGTTTCTCATGACCTCTTTGTATCCCTTACTAATAAGCAGCCAATTCCATTGTCCTTGTATATATTGTTCACTCTCAAACGCCTGAATTATGGCACTGGCCTGAGGAGTCTCCTCCATCAGAGCCCTCTCCTGTGTCACTGCTGGTAAAAGTTTAGTGAATAGGCTGCTATCTTGGGCCAGGGACCATCAATGCCTCCGGGGCAAGGGTCCATCATTTGCAGCTAAGCCGTGAGTAACTTAGCCTCAAATTGTCCGTCTTGCTTCTGCTGTCTTGGATTACTGTCTATATCAACTGACTGAGTTTGGAGTCTCTGAGAAGAAGATGCCAAGCCCAAATTGGCAATGCAAGAGATTCATGGGAGCAACCCCATGAAATATAAGAAGGAAAGGGGTAGGGCTAGGTAGGTGAGGAGAGGTAAAAGGAAGATGAATTAAGCAGGACGAGCTAAGGCTCAGTCAACTCAGTGGAGACCTCTGGCATAAAGACTGCTGGTCGAGGTGGGTATCGATGTGCTGCTGACTAGCACTTTGTTCACCTGTCATGCTCAGTTATGTGGCACATCCTGAAGGTGCTGGAGCTGGAGGCTGTCAGCTAACTGTACTCCTTATGTTGATTGTCATGTTCTTTCTCAAAGACAGATCTATGTGGCACGCATCTTTGGCTACCACACCACATCAGTTATTTACATATCAACCCAGGTGTGGTAGGTTGATAATGACTCTCAAAAATATGGTCACCTCCTAAGCGCTGGAACTTGTGAAATAACTGTCTTGTACAAAGAACCTTTGCAGATATGATTAAGTTAAGGATCTTGAGGCAATATTATCCAGGAGGACTCTAAATGCCATCACAAATGTCCTTATTAGAGGCAAAGAGAGATTACACACACACACACACACACACACACACACACACACACACACACACACACAGGAGGCAATGTGAAGACAGAGGCAGAGATTGGATTAATGTGGCCAAAGAATGCCAGCAGCTACCAAAGCTGGAAGAGGACAAGGAATGCATTCTCCCCCAGGATCTCCAGAGTGAGTGCAGCCCTGCTGACACCTTGATTTCAGAATTTTGGTCTCCAGAACTGTGAGAGAATAAATTTCTGTTGTTTTAAGCCATAAATTTGGGGTTTTGTTTGTTATAGCATCCACAGGATACTAATAACAGGTTTATAATTCCTTATTTTATGTAATTTTTATTGAGATATAATTCACATACCATAAAATTCATCCTTTAAAACTATAAGTGATTTTCCAGTATAGTCACAAAGTGGTACCAACGTTATCATGAATTCCAGAACATTTTCACAACCCCCATAGCCCATGATCAGCAACTTCCCATTTCCTATTACCCCAGTCCCTGTCCATCACCAGTCTACTTTATATCTCTATGGGTTTGCCTATTCTGAACCTTTCATGTAAATGGAATCATACAAATGTGGCCTTTTTGTCCGACTTCTTTCACTTAGTATGTTTTCAGTGTTCATCCATGTTTTAGCATAAATCATTTCTTTTTATGGCTAAATAACAACATTCCATTGTATGGCTATTCTACATTATGTTTATCCGTTCATCAGTGATGGACATTTGGATATAATTTCTTTTTAAAAACATTTCTTATTAGTTTTAGGTGTACAAAACAATGCACTAGTTATACATTTCACCCCTCACAATGTGATAGCTCCCCTCCCCCAATCTATTGTCCCTCTGACGTCGTATATATCTATTACATTTCCACTGACTTTATTCCTTATACTATACTCCACATCCGTGACTCTATATGTATTAAATTATAGTTGACATTCAATATTATCCTGCTTCAGCTTCAGATGTACAGTGCAGTGGTCAGGCATCTACAATGTCCATGAAATGGTCTCTCTCAGAAGACATGTGCCCATCTGACACCCTACAAAATATTTACAATATTATTGATTATAGTATTTGCCAAAGTGTCTCATCTCCCTGTGGCAATATTGTAGTTACCAATTTATGCTGTCAAATCCTTCCCCTTCTCCCTCATCCCCACCTCCTCCCATCTAGCAACCATCAGTTTTTCCTCTATATCTCTGAGACTATTTGGCTATAATTTCTTGAAATCAAATTTCTATAGGTGAAATTTTTCTGTTAGAACCTTATGTTACCCAGATGTCAGTTTGAATCACCCTTCCTTTTAATATTTTGAAGAAATACCAACTCCAAATCTAAGTACCCTCAATCTTTCTACAGATTTTTTTTGACATTTTTAAAAAGTCAGGTTTATTGAAGTTTAATTTACACAGAGCAAAATTCATCCTTTTTAATATACAGTACTGTGAGTTCTGAGAAATACGTATAGTCATGTAACCATCACTAAAATCAATTTATAGAACAACTTCAATATACCAGAAGCCCCCAAGGCCCTTTCTTAACCACAAACTCCTCCCTCCTTTCTAAAGTTACCCCTCTCCTAACATTTATGGTGATTACTTCCTTGCTTCTCTGTACATTTGCCATCGAACTGGAGTTTAGTTTTAATACACTAGAGTTTAATTTTGCCTGTCTTTGAACTTTATACAGAATTGGACAATTTGAATTCTGGTCCCCCTTTTTTTTATTAAAGATTTTTATTAAAATACAGCTAACATACAATATTATATTAGTTTCAGGTATATATCATAGTTGTCCAACAGTACCCACCTAACATAGTTATTAGCATATTATATTCCCTATGCTAAAGAAGTGATCACCGTGATAACTCCAGCAACCATCTGACATTGTACCACGCTATCACAATATTATTGACTATATTTACTATGTTGTATATTATATCCTCAAGACTTATTTGTTTTATACCTGGAACTTTGAACCTCTTATTCCCCTTTATCTTTTCCCCCCTTTTTAATTTTTAAAATTACATTGACATTAAATATTATTTTATATTAATTTTAGGTGTACAGCATAGTGGTTAGACATTTATATAAATTATGAAGTGATCACCTGACTAGTACCCACATGGCACTATAAATAGTTATTGCAATATTATTGATTATATTACCTATACTTTACATCCCCATGACTGTTTTATAAATACCAATTTTTATTTCTTAATATCATCTTTTTTACCCTGCCCCCAACCCCTTCCCACCTATCACCCCAACAAATCTAGTACCCATCTGACACCATACATAGTTATTACAATATTATTGACTGTATTCCTTATGCTATACCCTACATCCCCATGACTACAACAAATTTGTACTTCTTAATCCTTTCCCCTTTTTCACCCACCCAAAACCCCCTTACATCTGGCAGCCATCAAAATGTTTTCTGTATCTATGAGTTTGTTTCTGTTTCATTTGTTTGTTTATTTTGTTCTTTAGATTCCACTTATAAGTGAAATCATATGACATTTGTCTTTCACTGTCTGACTTACTACACTCAGCACAATACCCTCTAGGTCCATCCATGTTGTCGCAGATGGCAAGGTTTCATTCTTTTTTATGGCTGGGTAATATTCCATTTTATATCTATCTATCTATCTATCTATCTATCTATCTATCTATCTATCTATCTATATATATCTATATATCTATATCTCACCTCTTCTTTACCCATTCATCCATTCAGGGACCCCCAGGCTGCCTTCATATCTTGGCTTTTGTAAATAATGCTGCAGTAAATATATGGATGAGCATCCCCTCAAAGTAGCGTTTTGGGTTTGTTCAGATAAATACCCAGAAGTGGGATTACTGGGTCCTTTTTATTTTATTTAATTAATTTATTTATTTTTTCTCCAGCCTACCCCGTCGCCAGCGACTCACGGCAGCCTAGCTCCAGGCTGAGCTGCTGTTCAGCATCTTAGCTGTAGAGGGCAGTGTCACTGGCCCTCATATGTGGGATCCGAACCGGGGTCCTCTGGTGTCCCAAACCAGTTCTTAACCATCGCGCCACTCAGCCGGCCCTACTGGGTTCTTTTTAGTCTCTTGTTATAGTCTTTGTTTTAAAGTCTATTTTGTCTGATATAAGTATTGCTGCTTCAGCTTTTTTGCTTCCATTTTCATGAAATATATTTTTCTATCTATTTACTTTCAATCTGTGTATGTCTTTCAATCTGAAGTGAGTCTCTTGTAGGCAGCATGTGTAAGGGTTTTGTTTTCTTATCCACTTGGCTACCCTATGTTTTTGATTGGAACATTTAATCCACTTACATTTAAAGTAAATCCAATTACATTTAAAGTAATTGTTGAGTTTCCACTGCTTCTTCTCTCCCCTCCACCTCTGCCTTTGCTCCAGGATCATCTATCCTTTGGTGCAGAAAAAAACCAAAAACAAAAACAAGTAGCAATTGAATAGGAAAAGAATGGCATTGAGACAGATTTCCAGCAACAAGTGGAGGATTGCAGAAACTTTTTGAACATGACAGTGTTGAACTGACCTGAAAAATGAAATTTGCTATCTACTTACCACCAAAAGCAGAAACTGGAGAATGCCCTGCACTATATTGGCTCTCTGGTTTAACTTGCACAGAACAGAATTTTATATCAAAATCTGGTTATTATCAGGCTGCCTCAGGACATGGCCTTGTTGTCATTGCTCCAAATACCAGTCCTTGTGGCTGCAATATTAAAGGAGAAGATGAGAGCTGGGACTTTGGCACAGGTGCTGGGTTTTATGTGGATGCCACTGAAGAACCTTGGAAAACTAACTACAGAATGTACTCTTATGTAATGAAGGAGTTTCCCCAACTTTACATATATATATATATATATATATATATATATATATATATATATATATATATATATATATATATATATATATATAATAGATCATATATGCCAATTTTCCAGTGGACCCCCAAAGGATGTCTATTTTTGGCCACTCCATGGGAGGCTATGGAGCTCTGATTTGTGCTTGAAAGACTCCTAGAAAATACAAATCGGTCAACATTTGCTCCAATTTGCAATCCAGTGCTCTGTTCTTGGGGCAAAAAGGCCTTTAGTGGATGTTTGGGAACAGATCAAAGTAAATGGAAGGCTTATGATGCTACTCATCGTGTGAAGTCCTAGTCAGGTTCTCAACTGGACATACTAATTGATCAAGGAAAAGATGACCAGTTGTTTTCAGATGTACAGTTACTACCCAATAACTTCATAGCTATTTGTACAGAGAAGAAAACCTCTATTGTTTTTAGACTATAAGAGGGTTATGATCATAGCTACTACTTCATTCCAACCTTTATTACTGATACATCAGACATCATGCAAAATAACTGAATGCATGAAAACTTTAGAAAAGAGAATCTCTTCAGGATTATAGAAATTGTAATAAACAGAATTGCAGGGAAAAAAGATTTCAAAACAATATATTTTGTAATGCTAAAAATGCTTCCCTCTGTAGTTAAATCACCTTCTGAATAAATATATGAAACCTGAAAAAAAAGTAATCGTTGATAGATATGTAGTTATTGCCATTTTGTTATTCATATATATATATATGTATATATATATATATATATTTTTTTCCCCTTCTTCTTAAAGAAGTCCCTCTAAGATTCCTTGTAATACTGGTTTGGTGGTGATGAACTCCTTTAGCTTTTTGTTGTCTGGGAAGCTCTTTATCTGTCCTTTGATTGTAAATGATAGCTTTGCTGGGTAGTGTAATCTTGGTTGTAGGTCCTTACTTTTCATCACACTGAATATTTTGTGCAATCCCTTCTGGTCTGCAAAGTTTCTGATGAGAAATCAGCTGACGGTCTTATGGGAGCTCCCTTGTAGGTAACTAACTGCTTTTCTTTTGCTGCTTTTAAGGTTCTCTCTTTGTTTTAAACCTTTGACATTTTAATTATGATGTGTCTTGGTTTTGGCCTCTTTGGGTTCATCTTGTTTGGGACTCTGCATTTCCTGGGCTTCTGTATCTATTTCCTTCACCAGGTTAGGGAAGTTTTCCATCATTATTTCTTCAAATAGGTTTTCAATTCCTTGCTTTCTCTCTTCTTCTTCTTCTTTATTATTATTTTTAAAAGATTTTTATTGGGGAATTGGGGATGGGAACAGCGCTGGGGAATTGGGGGAAGGGGAACAGACAAGTTCCTGTCCTTTTGTTCTTCAGTCTAGTTGTGGATGACGTTGCTTCACTGGCCCAAGTTGGCACCATCATTGCACTCTTCCAGGGTGAGGCAGATCAGTCGCCTGCTTCTGCACTGCTGCTCACGGTGGCTGCTGGCCGCTCATGGTGGCTGCTGGCTACACACGGTAGCCCATGACAACCCACTGCAGCAGTGGCTGCAGCCTACGCCTTTGCCAGCAACTCACGGAAGCCCAGCTCCAGGTCGAGCTATTGTTGAGCATCTTAGCAGTAGAGGGCAGTGTCACTGGCCCTCATATGTGGGATCCGAACCGAGGCCTCTGGCATCCCAAGCCAGCTCTTAACCAATGCGCCACTCGGCCAGCCCTCTCTCTTCTTCTTGTATACCTATAATGTGAATATTGGTATGCTTGATGTTGTCCCGGAGGCTCTTTAAACTTTCCTCATTTTTTTCAATTCTTTTTTCTGTTTGCTTTTCTGATTGGGTGTTTTCTGTTTATCTTTTAAATCACTGATTCGATCCTCTGCTTCATCTAATCTACTGTTTATTCCCTGTAATGTATTCTTCATTTCTGTTATTGTATTCTTTATTTCTGACTGGCTCTTTTTTTATGCTCTCTATCTCCATTTTTATGTTCCTTATCTCTTTGTTGAAGTTCTCCCTGAGATCATTGAGCATCCTTATAACCAGTGTTTGGAACTCTGCATCTGGTAGATTGCTGGTCTCCATTTTGTTTAGTTCTTTTTCTGGAGCTTTGTTCTTTTATTTGGGACATGTTTATTTGTTTCCCCATTTTGACTGTCTTCTTGTGTTTGTTTCTATGTATTAGGTAGGGCTGCTATGTCTTTTGGTCTTAGAAGAGTGGCCTTATGCAGTAGGTGTGCTGTGTGGCTCAGTGGTGTCTTTCTGGTCACTCAAGCTGTGCACTCCAGGTGTGTCCCTCTTATAGTTGGGCTTTGGTTGGTTTTTGCTTGTCAACGGGAGGGATTGACCCACAGGCTCTTTTGTTGTGAGCACTGGCCATGGCTACAGTGGAGGAGTTGTGGTACAGAAGCTGACCCTGTAGAGCAGGATCTGCCTCAGCAGGGCTCTAGTGCCTGCCCAATCTGCCTCTTGGTTGTGTCATCCTTGGGGGTCGCTGGGTGATGCTTCGGCTTGTTTTGAAGCTGGCCACTGGGCGTGTCAGCCCCAGGGCCACCTGCGAGGAGACCTGCTGTAGGCCAAGTTCAGCTGTAGCCCCTGCCCTGCTGGGGGCCACCTGGTGGGAGCCACAAAGCAACCTTCAGATGGCCACCACCTGCGCTGTGCTTGGAAGTGCCTCGGGAGACTAAGCCGAGGACCAAGGCTGGCTGCCGCTAGTGCTGGCCTTAGGGTTGCTCATACAGAGGTATAGGACATACCCAAGCCAGATGCTGCTTATTTGGGTTCCAGGAACCTTTGAGAGACCCTAGGAAAGTCTGTAGCATGAGCTAAGGCAAGTGGTTTGTATAAAAAAGCCATTGGAAGTGGATTGGGTGTGTCCGAAAGTTGGGTGGGGTGGGGTCTCAGAATCATCAGGGTGTGGCAAACAAATGCATTAGCCAGCTTGATGGAGATTCAGATATTGCAGTCACCTTTGTCTGCATGCTGGGAAGGGAGAAGACTTAACCAAGAAACAATGGCCTCTGCCCGCTCCTCCATGTGGGAGAAAGCCTTACCTCTAGTCCTCTTCCTGAAGCCAGACAACCCAGTTTTCCACCCCTTTCTCCCACCATATGTCCCTGTCGCCTCTCCAGCTGCTGCCCTATCGCTGGAGCCCAGAGCCAGTAATTCCATGTTGAGTAATCCAGTCCCTTTAAGAGGAGCCCCTGAGATTCCAGCTGCCCTCTGTCTCTCTCAGCCACAATCTTTGCTGGTTTTTACCACCAGAAATTATGGGGACTCTCTCCCTGGCACTGGAATTCTGGGCTGGGGAGCCTGGTGTGACACTGAGACCCCTTGCTTCTTTGGGGGGGACCTTTACAGCTGAGAATCCCTCCCAATTTTTAATGGTCACACATGGGTGTGAGACAAGCCTGTTCCACGTCTCTGCCCCTCCTACCAGTATCAAGGTGACTTCTTCTGTATGTCCTTAATTATAGGGCTTTGGTTCAGCAAGATTTCAGGTGATGCTCAATGATGGTTGTTTTGTTGTTTAGTTGTAATTTTGAGAGAAGGTGAGCACAGCATTTACCTACTCCTCCATCTTGACCAGAACTCCTACAGATTCTTAGGTAGGGGGGTGAGGAAGGTTTAAATTTTCACAGTCACCTCTGACTCTTATATCCTGAATTAGCTGAATTCTTGTTCTTTGTTCCAAAAATTGAGGCTGGTTCTTTATCTCTGTATTGATGTTATGCAAAACTTGGAACTCAGCTCCTTTTCTTTTTCTCTATTTCATTTCCAGCTTTTGTTGCAAGTGACAAAAAATGAATTCAAACTTACTTAAGCAAAGTAAGAATTTTAGCATCTTGAGCAGTGGTTCTCAAACTTTTTGGAACCAGAGCTGCTTCTTTTTTTAAATTTATTTTTATTTATTTTTTATTATTACTTTATTTTATTTTAAATTGGAGGGTTGGGGGAGGGGAACAGTTTTGGGGAATTGGGGAAGGGGACCAGCCAAGTTGTTCTTCAATCTTCGTTGTGGAGGGCACCAGTTGCCATCTGGCTTCCTATCGGCAGCTTGTGGCCTCTAAGCTCAAGGTGCTGTTTTCAATCTTAGTTGCGGGTGGCCGTAGCCACCATCCCAAGCAGGAGTTGAACCAGCAGCCTTGTTATTAAGAGCATACACTCTATCCACCTGAGCCATCCGGGTGGCAGCTCAGCTCAAGGTGCCGAGTTCAGTCTCAGTTGCAGGTGGGTGTAGCCCACCATCAAACAGGCAATCTTATTACACCAGCTGAGCCATCCTGCTACTTGTTGGCAGCTCAGTGATAGCTCAGCTCAGGCGCAGCGCCACTGGCCCATGTGGGAATCGAACCTGTGGCCCTGTTGCTCAAGAGCTCGAGAGCTTAAGCCAACTTTTAAGCAGCTGAGCTACTCGGCCAGCCCCCAGAGCTGCTTTATACGCTCAAAAATTATTGAGGATTCCAAAGATCTTTTTTAAAATATGGTTTATATCTATTGAGATTTATTGCAATAGAAATTAAATATCAGAAGAGCTTAAAATATTTATTTATTAATTCAATTATAATAGCAATAATAATCATACTACATGCTAGCATAAATAACACATTTTAAATAACATAATTATATTTACAAAATAAAAAACAGATGAGTGGCATTGTTTTATAATTTTTCAAATCTTTTTAGTGTTTAATAAAAAAAGACAGTTGGATAGTCATATATCCTCCTGCATTTAATTTGTAGTTTTCTTTGAATTATGAAGAAAATTTGGCCTCACGGAGATGTAAATTGGAATAAAAGAGGAGTATTTTAATAGCCTTGTCAGGTAGCTGTGGATATTTGTCTTTGAAATTACATCAAAACTTGACAAGTGGTGGTTTCTTAAAGGATAGTGGCAATGTGGAACCTAAGACCATACCAGCTATCTTTGTATACTTGATTACATTAAAATTCATTAGTCTATCTTGCACTTTGAATGGATCTTTTACCGAGGTATGATTTTGTAACATCATATATTGGTCATTTGGAAATACCATGTCCCTGAGTTACGCAGATCTTCCAAGTGTTCACACATTTCTTATATACGATATAAAAAACACCTTTGTTTATATTGCTACCAATTTCATCAGAAAAGCCTTTAAGTATTGGTAACCTGTTAAGCTCACAGTGTTGAATACAGATTTCTAAAATCCTAATTTTCACTTGAAAGCTTGCATTTTATCCTTGGCAACAATATTGTCAGTTGTTTTCCTTGAAGCTAAAGGCGCACTTCATTTTCAATAAAATGTCTGTCAAAGATCCCAATCTGAGTAAGCATGCTTTGCCTGCCAGCTGTTCTTTCAAATAAAACGGTATTACATGGAAAAGCAGCTAGCCCAGTCCATAAATCAATGAACAATCGCTCTTCCTGGAGACAACTAATATTTTACTTTAGAATACAGTAGTTTTTTATGTATACTTCCTATTTCATCTTACAGAATATTAAAGGCACGTACTTAACTGTCCAAGCTTAATAAAATTAATAATTTTTACTGATTCAGGGGCATTCTTAA